AAGTTAAAATTTATAGTTGGATGCACAAGCAAGGCCATTGCAGACTCAGCGGCAAAAGAAGTCAAATCTGCAAATAAGTTCAAATCCAAGCTTATGGTATTTTGCTTGCTTTAATATAAATTTAGTACTACAAACAGTTTGCTCAAAGTTAATGCTCTCACACGACAAAAACGTGCTCTATTGCGGCCAATTTTTTACAGACAGCTTCTTCTCCCAGCTGCGGCGTGGCCGATTGAGTTTAGCGCAAAGTTGGAGCAGGTCTGTATCGATTTTGCTCCAGCGCCAATCAGCCGCGCCGCCACTAAGTCTGCAGCGGGCTGGCGACATCTTTCTTCGTGCAGTCGACTATAAATGCATTATTTAATGCGAGTATTCCTTTTTCAGGATCGAAAAGCTCCTTCTCTGTAATCTCGAATTCAGACAGAAAGCAATTATTCAGCAATATTTTTGCTGTTAGGGATTGCAGTGAAAGGTAGGTTATGTAGTGAGAATACCTCAAAACCTAATAACTTATCTTGTCAAAGGCCTCTTATGTAAATAGAGCACGAAAACCATTATGTTTTAATAGATAAGAATTGAGGAGAATTATTAATTGAGCATTGGAGCTCTTATAATCACTCTTCACGTTTTACAATTTAATAGTAAGGTTTTAATCGCAGAAATAAAATATGGAAATTGAATTAACATTCAGTCAGACTTCAATCTCGAAATTTAGTTAAATACATTGTTTCGAAGTTAAATTTATCAACTTAAAAACATGTAGAAACCAACTTTGGAAAAATGTATCCTCTAAAGGGAATACAATTGAACAGTTATAATCTTTCACGGAATTTTTTTTGAATTTCGAAATTGTCTACCTAGGTTAGATTTTCAGTCTATCTTAGAAATTATATATCTCATAAAAATGCTAACTATGTGAAATATGTACCTTTTCCACATAAATTCTCATCATGTAATCATCTAACCAGTATCACAAACAGCACATTCTGTATGGCTAATGCAAAAACTTTCAAACAAGATTAAGATTGAACATCCGTCCAAAATAAAAAACTTATGTTAGAATAGTACTCTGAATAACGGAAAAAGTTTGCTAACGTGTTTAGCGTGAACTCCTTACAGAAAAAAATTGAAGATTTACACTCACAAGGGGACGCTCCTAGTCAAATTGGCCTTTATGTGAGATGTAAACGAAGAAATAGGGCTTGAAGCGCTGATTCATGTGCCTTCTTTGTCTATGAGACTTTTCTGGGAGGAGTTATACAGTTTTTTCTATACTGAAATAGCTTAAAAAGTAAATAATTGCCCTAGAGCAACATTTTGGTCGAAATCAAAAATGCAAATGTATTTCAAAACAGAATCAAATATTTCATCAATATTAAGCTTTTGCGTTTAGTCCTTTAGCAAATCAGTCAATTTTTGCTAAAGTATTACATCGCATTTAAGAGTTGACGGACTTTTTTCATATATATACCCTACAATCGTATACGAGGCTCCTCTCTTATCTCCAGCGCTGATCGGAACAGCAGGACTATCATAGAACTTACACATGTTTACATTTTTTGTATATATCGAAGCATAGAATGACTAGAGACAAGTTAAGAGTAAGATTAATAAGGAAAATG